GCTGGACGCCCACATGTTCAACTGCGGTTCGAGTCCCAGACCTGGTGGCTTGCTTTCTCACTCTCTCACTCTGTCCCACTCTGGTCAAATTAAAAAAATAAGTAAATGAATGAATAAATTTAAAAAAAATTCTTAAAGAAAATAATAAATGTGGGCCTGCAGGTGGCGTGGTGAAGGGCACTGGACTCCCACGTGACTGATAGCAGTTCAAGTCCTGGACCTGGTAGTTTGGTTTCTCTCTCTCTCACTCGCTCTCTCTCTCTCTTTCGCTCTGTCCCTCTCTGGTCAAATTAAAGTAAGTAAATAAATAAAGTTAAAATAATTCTTAAGAAAATATATGCATATTCATATGCATGCAAATTCCCTCCCTCTCTCTCTTTTTCTCTCTCAAAAAATAATACTAAAAGGCAGAAAGAATATTTATTGGATATAAGCCTCTGTGGATCTAACCTACCAAAACCAAATCTAATTATTTATTGAATTTACTATGAAATAAAAAGTTTATCAAAATTTCAATCCTAATGAACTCTTTATTTTTTTTTTAAAAAAAAGGTAGTAGGAGTTTACTCCAATGCTCTGGTGTGGAACCTTGGACAAGTTTCTTAACCTTTGAAGCCTCATCTGTGAAATGGGAGCCATATCTGAACCTGTTTCTTCTTTTCCCTTTTTAAAAAATGTGTTACATGTGCACTCGCCGGAGGCTGGGAAAGGGGGCGAGAAAGGAACCCCCAGGGGAGATGGCTACAATGCAGTGTCCTCTGGAGACCCTGGGCATGCATGCACATGTGCTTGCTGTGTTTCTCAAGCTGCTGGGTGTGGGACTTAAACTGCACAGTCGGTCAAGGGACCCAGCCACTTCAGTCACCACACCACCGGCTGGCCCCGAACCTATTTCATAAGACCATCAAGACAGTTAACTGATAAAGCACACAGAACACTTAGCACTGTGTCTAGCACATGGGACCTGTTGAATTAAATGACAATCTGTTCTTCTCTTTAGAATTATTTTAAAGCATTTTTTAAAATTACTTAATTTGCCCTAAGGCAAAAACCTCTTCAACACGCTGTGTGTGTATGTGCACATGCCCAAAATCCTGACAAGAGAATGGAAGAGAAGGGATTACAGCGTGGCCATCCCCTTGGGAGGGGGGGGTGATTTCTCACTTTCTCTGTCTCTTCGGTGAATGCATGTACCCTATAGCAAAAATCTCTCCAAAAATTATTTAATTTTATTAAGTAGTATTATCTTTAATTTGACCAGAGAGAAACAAAGAAAAAGGCAAAGAGAAAACAAGCCACCAGGTCCAGGACTTAAACCACAGTTAGCCAGCCATGGGGGAGTCCAGCACCTTAACCACCACACCACCTGCTGGCCCTGGTCTTACTTATTTAAATACTAGAGATATGTCTCATACATCACATCCTAAAGTGAATATATTAATAGCAGAGTGGTTGAGGGTGTGGATTATGGTGTCAGACTGCCTGGGTTCGAATCCTCTACCATTAACTAGGCTGTGTGACCTTGGGTAAGTTATTTAACTAGTCTTGGCCTTGGTTTTTCCCAGTTACAAAACAGAGATAATAATAGTACCTACCTCATAAAGTCCTTAGAATAATATGTGGCATATATTGTAACTACCATGTAAATATTTGTTAAGTAAATAATGAATCTTTCTTAAAAAATGGAACAAACCTTCTTACTGAGAAAAAGATTAAAGTGCAGCAAGCCATAACCTAAAGTCTCAACGCCCAGAGAACACTTCTCCCATACAAATGGTCGAAGTCTCTGTACCCCAATTGTTCCCTAGGCTTTCTCAGAGTCTTTGAGCAGCCATCTGCTCTACTTTTCCACTCAGTCCTTCTTGATTAGTCACTTCCTGTACTTTCACGCTGGTATTTATCAGGAGTCATGTGTTGTCCATCCAGTGGGCCTGCCCTATTTTCTTATTTATTTAAATTGTTTTCCTTTATTCACGACAGAGCAAATGCATGCACATGTACGAGTGAGAGAGGGATGATGACCCTTCACAGGATCTGGTTGTCCCATGATCACCTTCCCTAGTCCTCTAGCCTAGCGGGTCTTGGGCACTTGGATGCATGCCTGGTGTGTTTTAGGCTGTCCAGGTTGGGGATTTGAACTGTCGTCACCACATGAGATCAAGCTTCTTTTGAGCAGTACATTACTATTGCCCCATGGAGCTGGCCCCGTACTCCATTTTACAAAGTATTTATTGAAGTTTTATGTGCCAAAGTGTGTCCAAACAACCCCTTTGTACTGAGATTAAGGGGAGGTTTTAGAATTGGGTTATGGAGGGGCTGGCAGGTGGCGTGTTAGTTAAAGGTGCTGGATTCCCATGTGGTCAACTGAAGTTCGAGTCCTGAACCTGGTGGCTTGCTTTCTCACTTTCCCTTCCTCTCTCTGTCTCTGTCTGGTCAAATTTAAAAATAATATTAACAACTAGAATTAAATAAATAAATAATTCTTAAAAGAATTGGGTTATGGGGGCCAGCAGGTAGCATAGTAGTTAGGGTGCTGGACTCCCATGTGACCAACCATGGTTTGAGTCCTGGACTCAGAGCCTTCCTTTCTCACTTTCTCTCTCTCTCTCTCTCTGTCTCTGGTGAGTACATATGCCCCATAGCAAAGTTGGAAAATAATAATAATAAATGAAATAAACAATTCTAAATAAATTTTTAAGAATAATTGGTTTATGCACCTGTGTAGGTCATTGAATGAACACCTCAAAAGGGGTGGGTCCACATCACTAGTCATCCACCACGTGCAGCACGTGGGAGTGGATGCACATGGGGAAGAAAACTACAAAATAGGGCCCCTGTTCCTCCTTTCCTGGCCCTCAGTGATGAAACGAGAAATGAAAGGCACACATGACATCGAAACTGCTTGTACAGTTAGGGACCAGATGGTGGTGCAGCAGCAACACAGAGCAGGACGAGGGTGACGCATGGGGGAAGGTTCCAGGTTTGTGTCCAGAGACCTCTCTGAGTATGCAGGGCACACATGTGCCCGTGATCCCAGGGCTAGCTCAGGCTGGAGTGGATCATGATGTCAGAGTCCATTGGGGGGTTCTCTCTTTCTCTGTGTCTTTCTTTTTTGGAAGAGGGAAATATGCTTAAAAAAAAAAAAAAACCTGCTTATATAAATACGTCTATAAATAGATGCAGATTCAGATTGCACAAGTCCACAAGTGCCAAAGGAACACAGAGACATGAGAGCTGGGAAGTATTCAGAAAGGAGGATGCTCTGAAGGAGGCGAGAAGGCCATGATTAAGAGGGTTTGGGATAGGGGACCAGCAGGTGGCATGGAAGTTAAGGCACTGGACCTCACATGGTCAACCATGGTTCAAGTCCCAGACCTGGCAACTTGCTTTCTCACTTTTTTCCCTCTCTCTTTGTCTCTCTCTGTGGCGTACACATGCCCACAGAAAACTAAATAATAATAAAGGGCTAGCAGGTGGCATGGTGGTTAAGGTGCTGGATTCTCACATGGCCCATGGCAGTTCAAGTCCCAGATCTGGCATCTTTCTCTTTCTCACACACACATGTACCGTATAGCAAATTAAAAATAACAATAAAAGACCAGCAGTTGCGTAATGGCTACATCACTATTGAGTCCTGTACCTGGAGGCTTAAACTCATGCCAGGCACATATGCGTACATGCCCAAGATCCCGAGAAGAGAATGGAGGAGAGGGGATTGTGGTGTGGCCATCTCCCCAGGGCTGATTTCTCACTTTCTGTCTTTCTGTCTCTCTTTCTGGTGAGCACACACGCCCTATAGCAAAACAAACAAACAAACAAAAACAAAAACAAAAAAACAAGAAAAAAATAACAATCGTAAATAAAATTTTAAAATAAAAATAAATTTAATTTAATTTAAAAAAAAAAGGTTTGGAATAATGAACATTTGGGAGAAAGGTGATTTGGGGGGGCCAGCAGGTGGCGTGGTGGTTAAAGGCACTGGATTCCCACATAGCTGACCCTGGTTCGAGTCCTGGACCTGGTGGCTTGCTTCCTTCCTTTCCCTGTCTCTCTCTGGTGAAACTGAAAAAATAATAACAAATGGGGGACCAGCAGTTGGTGTAATAGCTATGTTGCCAGACTCCCATGTCGTCGACCGCGGTTCGAGTACCAAACTGGGTGGCTTAAACACACTGGGCACATGTGCGTGCGTGCCCAAGATCCTGAGAGGAGAATGGAGAAGGGATTGCAGCGTGGCCATCCCCCTGGGGGGTGATTTCTCTCTTTCTGTCTCTCTGCCTTTCTGTGTCTTTCAGGCAAGCACACGCGCCCTATAGCAAAAACCTCTCCAAAAAAGAAAAAAGAATAACAAATGGAATTAGATAAATAAATAAATAATTCTTTAAAAAAAAAAAAAAAAAAAAAAGGTGATTTGGGAGAGAATGGGAGCAAGGTTAGCCTTTAAAGCTGGATAAAGTCATCAAATCCTTCCCAGCAGGTGGCTGTACCTGTGGGCGGCACCGCAGGTACACAGAAGGCAAGCGGTGCCCGACCACGCCGCCCTCTTGTGCTCTGCATCCATGGAAGCCTCCCTACAATGCTCACCAGTGGCCTGTTTGGGGACAAAAAGAGGCATACGAGCTGGCCTGAGTCACCACAAAGCAGAAAAGGCTTTAGGACCCTGGCCTGGAAGTGAGGATCTCCCAGGCCTAAGAATGGAGTCATCGCATCAGCCACGTTTACAGACCTGCTCACACTCACGCAGCTGTTAAGCTCCTCAGTCTCGCGCTGAGATTCAGCTCCAGTCCCTCTAGAACTCCCTCAGCCTTGACAGGTTCACAGCCCTGCTCTGGCAACACAGAGTGTGCAGCAACTGGACACGAGGAAACCCCTCTGTTCAGCCCCCAAGCAAGCATTTGACAGAGAGCAGCAATGGGAACTGGCATTTAGAGAAAAGCTTTCAGATACAGGATGGGGACAGAAGGTTCTCTCTCTTTTATTTTTAGAGGTTTTGTGTGGTTTTTTTGGAGAGATTTTCACTATAGGGCACATACGTTTGCCAGAAAGAGAGAAACAGAGAGGCAGCGAGAAATCAAGACCCTGGGGGAATGGCCATGCCACAATCCCTTCTCCTCCATTCTCCTCTCAGGATCTTGGGTATGCATGCACACGCGCCCAGCGTGAGTTTAAGCCACTGGGTCCAGCACTTAAACTGTAGTCGACTACATGGGAGTCCAGTGACATAGCCATTATGCCAACTGTTGGTCCCTTTAGAGAGAGATTTTTACTATAGGGCACATGTACTTGCTGGAGGGACATAGATGAAGAGACAGAAAATGAGAAATCACTCCCTGGGTGATGGCCACACTGCAATCCTTCTCCATTCTCCTCTTGGGATTTTGGGCACACATACACATGTACCCGGCATGAGTTTTAAGCCATCCAGTCTGGGACTCAAACCATGGTCAACTACGTGAGAGGCCAACAACATAACCATTTCGCTATCTTCTGGTCCCAGAAGATTTACTCTTATCTACCACTGACCAATTTGGTTTGTTTGCTATCTTTTCATTCTGGTTCTCGGGTTGACCAGAAAGAGCAATTGTACTAGCTGTGGTGGTGCAAATTGTAGTGCACCACTGTGCAAGGTTAAGGCCACATGGGAGGCCTGGTTTGGGTCCTGGAATAACTTAACGAAAGAAATCCGGTCAGGCATGGCGGTACATGCCTATAATCCTAGCTAACAGGGAGGCTGGGAGAGGATCGTGAGAAATCACCCCCCAGGGGGGATGGCCATGCCGGAATCCCTTCTCCTCCATTCTCTTCTTGGGATCTTGGGCACACATGAACATGTGCCCAGCGTGAGTTTAAGCCACCGGGTCTGGGACTCAAACTGCAGTTGACTACATGGGAGTCCAGCAACAAAGCCATTACCCTAACGGCTGGTCCCCCGAAACACTTTTTTTTTTTTTGAGAAAGAGGTTTTTGCTATAGGGCACGTATGCGCACCAGAAAGACAGAGAGAGACAGAGAGACAGAAAGTGAGAAATCGCTCCCCTCCCCCGGGGGAGGATGGCCACGCTGAAATCCCTTCTCCTCCATTCTCTTCTTGGGATCTTGGGCACACATGAACATGTGCCCAGCGTGAGTTTAAGCCACCGGGTCTGGGACTCAAACTGCAGTTGACTACATGGGAGTCCAGCGACAAAGCCATTACGCCAACTGCTGGTTCCAAAACTAAAATACTTCTTTAAAAAGAAAGAAAAAGTGGCTTAGTGCAATGCAGTGGTTTTCACTTTTTTTTCCTAACTGTAAAATCTTTTCTTTAAGCAGAACATGATATGGAAGTGCAATACCTAATGCAGATTTAAATGGAGTTTCTTTTTTTTTTTTTTAAAGATTTATTCAT